TAATTATATATGTTGCCAAAGTCATTAAAATCTCAAATTATTTTTGAGCTGTTTATATATCCTGTAGCTCGATTTTGTTTTCTAATAATCGTTTCGCTCGTGGTTCCACTTGAGTTTTGATCATTCCTGACGTCATTCTACGTTCGATAAGAGTACACACCACAGAAAATCCGCTTCGAATTGTTAAGTCGATGAGTATAAATTGTTTGGGACGCTAGTCTTTTACAGCCAATTTGAATTTCTGTTGGTCTATCGCATTTCAATTAAATAAATTCGGTATACTGACACCTGCTCTGGACATTAACTGGCACGTAAACAGCTGATAAACAGGTTTGTTGAGTTTTTTTGGGCAATTTTACCTATGAATAAGTCTAACAAATAGTTTGCTCTCGCTTTTTCTCTCTTCTCTTTCGTCCACAAGCCTGAGTGAAGCCCAGCCTAGCTTGAGAGTTCATACAGCTGCTAAGTAGGGACAATGTTCGAGTATAGTAAGGAATTGTTCMTAACAATGCAATTTTAAATGCACCTGGTCGAGTAATGTTGACTCCTCTTCTAAGAAAAAACCCTTTAACCCTTTTTATAGGTCTTGGAGTAATGTTTTGACTCTCTTTCCGAKTTGARTTAAAYCTCATGTCCGGTTTGTTCAAAGCCCGGTTTTCTAAAAGATAACCCAGGATTAGCACTCRGAATCGATCGGGCTTTGAATAACCCGGTACCAGGAGCAAAAACTACTCCTATTCATATGTAGAGTAGATTAGTTTAACTCACGAGATAGAGTAACTTTTAACTCCATTGTTGCAGTTATTTCAACTCCTTGAAAATAGCAGTGCATCAAATTAATAACATATCATSCCTTAAATTATGGTTCTTGAAAATCAAATTGGTAAGCATTGGATCAACCATGATTAGTCTCCACTCATCAAAAAAACATACCCAGAAAACATATTTATACAATCAAACAAGCAAAAATTACTCTTTATTCTGATTAAAATCAGTGYTGCTCATTGGTGTTATTTTTACTGAAATCGAGTGCAAAAAAAGTGAATTGTTGAATTGTGATTCGCTTATTAACAATAGCAGTTTTGCTGGTCAATCAATAAAAAGATTTCACAAGGAAAGATTCTCCTCAACGGTGAYTCTCTGAAATTATAGTGAAGTTATTTATATATGAAAGATAGTTTATTGGATATCCGACAGAGCTCGCCGCACTAGTATGCTAGACAAATTAAAGATTTTTCTCTCTTGGAAACTAGAATCAGTTTGTACAAAAAAATAAAAATTTACGAACATATAGAATCACCACTAGAATCCATGCCATTGTGTTGTTCTCCAGTTACATTACCGTAAACTGCAAGTGGTCTAATCCGACATTACAATATYAATACTTGTAGCAATGTATTCAATAATTTTTTTTTGATTTGTTTTATATGTGACATGCTGATTTGCYATAATTTACTCTGTGCAACTGTCCTCAATGTGGTCAACGTTGACAATACCCCAACCGCTTGAGGAATCGTCAACAATTCGAACCTGAGCTACCTGGCCTCTATACGATGACACATTGAATTCCTTTTGATTCATTRTATTGCGGTTATTGRCTGGAAAGGCTTTGTCAACTACCGATCCTCCAATCAGCAACTCAAGTCGTTCGTCAGTATTAGCTCCTCCACCAATCAGAAACCTCAGTTTCGATCCTACGATTTTAAAGSGCGGTGAGGTCGCTGTACCAGTTGGYSYATCAYCTTGWTKASCCACGGGGTCAGAAGGACTGGGTCTTTTTTCRWRTGTTCCTATGTACCAGTTTCCTTTTAAGTTCGCTGTTGAGTCGCCTCGTGCAAGAGAATTGTCACCATAAGTTGGCTGGTAGCGGAAAGCTGTTCCTGTAAGKGTCCAGCCGTCAAGATTTCCAGATTCAAAGTCAAATAGTGTGCAGTCTATAAGAAAATGTTTTCAGATCAAGTTCAGTGATGTCATAATCAGCTTTAGTCAAATTTAARGTGCATATGAAATAAACATTTTTGTTTARATTAAAGTTAGCATTTTTTGATTGAACTAAATTTATCCCTTACTTTCACAGTTCTTTCCTGCAGGGCTGTTAGTGCAAGAGCAATTGTAATCACCCCCTCCATCTGYCACTGTACATTTTGCGYCATTTTTACAAGGGTTTGGAACACACTATAAATGATTGAATAATAAGGATGAGAAGGAATAATGAAACGCTAATGAATAATTAATGAATTGATGGGTAATAATCTGARGTATTCATACCATGTTTATTTCACAATTTCTTCCAGTGTGACCAACACAAGTACAGGTGTASTTTGTTCCTSCATCKTTCACGGCACATTGACCACCATTTTGACACGGGTTTGGTGAACAAGCAGTCTACAAGGCGGAAACATTAAACTTTTTTACTGACTTGAATAAWTGCTCGAGTCAACCGCAATGMGCCCATAAATAGTAGTAAGCATGTTGAGGGAAAATAATCTTTCGTAGAYTTGTTTMAAATTTGTTTAGCATTTAGACAACAATTATTCTCGACTTTTTTGGACTTTTTCATCCTCATTGCGATGCGACAATGGTCTATCATAAAGAGACAATATTTCAGTAACCAATCAGAATGCTAGATTCATGATAGCCCATTGTTTGGGATCAGAAATGTCTCAGAAACTCTGACAATAAATTGACTTTTTTTTAGGGCTTGCACTGTTTCTTTGCAGGTGCAGCTTTTTCGGAACTATTTCTAGGAGCTCAAAACTGGAAGAAATCTCTGCCTGACAGCCGAGCTGAGAAGGAGGTACTTATGACTTATTTACACTGGAGCTGTGCCTTCGACCGGCGTGGTGGAATACTACACCAAACACCAWAAGGTACATTGTAAGGTACGTTTTTTCTCAAGGCATTTTAAAAGATGCCTAGATATGATTTCTTTTTATCATATAATTATCTATAAAATACCTATATTTTGCCATTACTTTAAGTTGTTATTTTCACTAGCGAAAATTGCATATTCGAGATCTCTCTATATAGTGGAAATTAGAAAAAAGGTATTTTACAACAAAATTTGCTTTCATATACAATTATATGATAAATAGAATATTACATGGTCGCTTGGAGATACGAAGTTTATCTTCTCGTGTTGAAAATCTCTCACTCGTTCGCTAAGCTCACTCGTGAGAGAGATGTAATTTCCTTTATATCAG